AGAGAGAGAGAGAGAGAGAGAGAGAGAGAACCTCACCATGTATTTGAACTTGCTATGTATACCAGATCCACCTGCTTCTGCCTCCCAAGTGCTTTTATTAAGGCATGAAACACCTTATCTGGAAAAATATTTTTATTTTTAATTATGTATCTAAGTGTGTGTCTGTGTGTAGGTTTTTGAATGTGAGTGCAATGCCTACAGAGGCCAGAAGAAGGTACCAGATTCCCCTTGGAGCTAGAGTTACAGGCAGTTGAGCTACCCAAGGATAACATGGGTTCTGGGACCCAAACTGGGTTCTCTGCAAAAGCAGAACACGATCTTAACTGTTGAACCATTTATCCAGTCCATTTTGTTTTGTTTTAGTCAGGGTCTTGTGTAGCCCAGGCTGGCCTTGAACTTGAGAATGATTCCGAACTTCTGATCCTCCTAATTCCACCTTCTGAGTGCTGGGATCACAAGAATGCACCAGCACACTTAGTGTCTGTGGCACCGGGGTCTGTGACTCTGTGTGTGCTGGACACGCACTCGGCCAACTGAGTCCTTGATTGTTAGTTTTAACACTTCCAAAAAAGGATGTGAAGGTAGCAGAGATGCAGTCCCACTGGGAGGAAAGAAGGGAAGAAGCTGGGAAAGGAGAAAAGCACAGGAGAAAAGACCTCCATGCAGTCACAGGGCTGGTGCTCAGGCCTTTAAGGATAAAGAAACGAAGCAAACAAGATCATGGTATGTGAAGACAGGCAAGAAAAGCCAGTGCTTGAGGGACTGCAGCTGAGAAACAGGGTGCAAGCGAGGGGGAAGAGGTGAGAGGGAGGCTGCGGAGCGGAACACAGACAGGTGTGCACGATCCTGGTTCCACACACACACAGGGAAGTGCCGGTGAACCGCTGAGTGTAGCATCCGTCAACAGGTCCCACACGGCCCAGGTCGCTTAGTGAAGGACATCATGTTCCCTTAAGACCCCAGAGCTTTCCTGAAAATGCAGGTGCCTGGCCTCCTTAGACCTGTCAATCAGAAGCCAGGCGAAGAGCCAGGTGACCTTAACGAGACCCATTCGAGGAAAGGGCTCTGATGCTCACTCAGCGTGGTACAGTTGGAACAGAGGAGCAAAGCCTAGTGCACAGAACACCCTGTATCTGCCTTCTTCTGCTGCTGGGACCTTGAAGCCACACAGCAAGCTCCTGCTGGAGCTCAGTCTGTCTGTCTGTAACATGGGAACTGAACCCAGGAAGCCTTTTCCCCTGGTTTGGCTTCACTTTCTCGGATCGCTGTGAACTTTGTACAGACAGGCTCCCATTGTGAGCTTCATTCCTACTCGGAATTCCTACAATAAAGGACAAGAGAAAACAAAAACGGAGTATGTCTCTGTGAGTGGAGAGGAATGCCTCACCCATGGGTGTTCTATTGCCCGTGTTCAGACTTGTACCCTGTAGACCAGACCTGGAAACAGGGATGGCTGTCCTACGTGGCACACATACCTTTCGGTTCTGATAGGCATCTGACTTTCAGAAGACCCAGAGGAGAGTAAAATCATCTGACTAAATAGCAGCCCTTTTCTTCTGAGGGCCTGCACAGGTTTGCACTGTGTTCAGCTCCTACCTACCCAGTATCTCCCCCAATCCAACATCTCTGCTATTGCCAGCTACTGTTCACCGGGCCTTTGTTTAAGGGCCCATGCATTCAGAGTCATAGGACTTTCTAGAAAGCATAGTTACTCTTCAAATTGCAGCATGTTTGATAAGCACTCTGGGTACTTCTGGGGGCAAGTATCTGTAGGGGTATGGCTGGGGAAATAGTCTGAACCACCACGTCCCTGCCTGCTAGCTGGGCCTGGTCAGGTAAATTATGGAACAGCTTCCATATGGAAAATAAGTAGTCCCTTCAAAATCATGTTGAATGATGAGCACTTTATCTTCCTAAAATGAACGTGGTGCTTGGCAAACATAAAAAGCTAAAATAGTACCAAATAGGAAAATCATTTTGAGTTCTACCATCCTGAGATACCTTGTCAGAATTTCAAAATGAACAGTTGATGACCTGGGAAAATGCTCACAAAAGAATACTATGATGAAGGGAACATCAGGGCAAAACTCCGTGTATCCTGAGGTTGCCTTCCTCAGACTGCGGAGAGGCCCCGGCACCGTCTCTAGCAGGTGGAGGCTGTGCCCATCACTCCTTCACCCAGTCAGGCTGGTACAGCAGTGGGTATGGATGGAATGAATGCCTCCAGTAGCTAAGTTAGTCACTCTGGGAGTTTCCACAGCTCATTTTATCCTATCATCCTTGGGTCCAGGCCAACACCTTTTGCTGCCCACAGAAAGACCCACACACAGTAAGCTTCTCTCAACAACATCCTTTGTGTGTGTGTGTGTGTGTGTGTGTGTATGCTAGGAATGTACAGCCTCCGAGGATGCAGAGGAATGAGAGGAGGCTGGCAGCATTCGCTCTGCTTAGCAGGAGAATAGATAATTAAAACAGAGAGACTGCAGGCAGAAGCAGGGAGGCAGGGGGGCCACCGGGGGAGGGCACAAAGCCACCTGTAGGAGGAGAGGCCAGTGGCTGGGACAGTTGGGGAGCTGGCGGCAGCTGGGAGGCCAGACTGCAGTGCCCATAGGGAATGAGTCCACTTCCCTACCAAGTTCAAAACCCCTGGTGCCTCACTCTTTCTGTATTTTGGTGCAAGAAGAGGATCCAAAATGAGCACACCCAGACTTAGGGGAAGCTTTGGGTTGGCAGGTCTCGTGCTGAGATATGTAAGGGCAGGGCCCCAGCCGTGTTCCCACTGGGGATAAATCTGTGTCTCTGGCAGTTTATCTGCTGTATGCAGGGCGGCACCTCACAGAGGAGGGACCGTGGCCAAAGACAGAGCTGTTCACAGGGCTTGTTTTCTTTTCCCTCATTTGGGGTTAAAGAGAGAAAAGTGCCTTCGTTTTTTAACCAGACACTTCAGGAAGAGACGAAAGCTGCCGTTGACGGCCTGGGGACCTTTTATCAAGGGGTTCTCATCTATTTCCCATATTAGAGGATCCGCAGGAGGTGGAGCGCCTCTCCACCAAACGGCCTGTGTAGGTTTCCTGTCTTAGATTCTGAGACATCCTTTGTGAGATGAAACTGATAGGATTTCCTCAAAGAGTAGTCGAGTCTTGCAAGCTGTCATTCTCTATCCAAGGGGGAACCTCGCCAGAAAAAGACGTCTGTTGAAAACGCCACTTTCAGATCCCGAGGGTAAGAAGGATGGGGAAGTAACTGGGTTAGTTTTAAAGAAGCAGACCCAGGAGCCTGCCCAGGACAGGGCACTGAGCTGGGGGTGTGTGCTCAGTGCCCGCGCCCGCGCGTGGGCTGCGCTGATCCCCGCCGGGCCTCCCCTCGGAGGAAACCTTCTGTAATGTCCCAAACCTGGGTCGATCCCGGGAAGGGAGGGCGGACAGCTGTCCTCGCTCTCCGCACCCATCTGCAGCGTCCCAGCTGGGGCTGGCCTGGCTGTAGAGACTGACTCCCGTCAGGAAGGGACAAACAGAAACGAACTCCCAGAGCTACAGCCAGCTTCACCTGCGGCGTCCCCCAGCCCTACTCCAGCTGTGACAGCGCCGCGGACACATCCCCCCGCCGACTCTGCAGCCCCGTGCCAGGGGCTGCGGGGATCTCCGGGAGTGCCGCACAGTCGGCCGCCTCCGTCCCCTCCGCTGCGCGTCGCAGAACTCACCGCCATGGTGCGCGCACTGGGCGGCCGCCCGGGTCGCGTCAGTCCGCTCGCGGCTCCCGACTCGACTCAGTAGGATTGGATTGCAGCTGCTACCGCGCCCCGGCCGCGCGGATCACGTGGCAGGGGCGAGGCGGCGCGCGGGCGCCTGGGAGTTGTGGTCCTCACTCCCCCCCCCCGCCGCGGGGGAACCTACGCTCCCACCCCCCCCACCCCCGGGTCCTGGCTGCTCTGACACGGGGTCTCCGCAATCTGCAGCAAGCCCGGCCGCCTGCCATTCACTTTGCCTCGGCAATTATCATAAAAATGTTTATTACTTTTTTCTTTTTGATCAGACACCTAGCGAAGCTTAACATATGCTGAGTGGAATATTAAACTGTTCATCCCAGGAACACAATAGCAACAAATTGGGAGTACATTAAGTCAATTACACGCCAGACTTTGCCTGTCGCCACTTTATCTCTCCAATCTGATAAGCAATCAGCAGTGCAGTGCACAGATGTAATTTTCTTTCTTGTGTGCATGCTCACTATGATTATGTTTCTGTATTGCACACATTTTTCGTCCTCCTTGTAGGTAATACAAAATCTTAGTTCATTTGGGCTACATTAACAGACTATCACAGAATGAGGGCTTATAAACCATGGACATTTATTTCTCACAGTTCCCAGTCCAAGATCAGGGTACCAGTTCCATGTCTTCCCAGGGCTGTTTTCGGCTTGCAGACCGCTCTCTTCTCATTCTCCCCTCACAAATATTTGTATTTGTTTTATTACTAGGTTAATAAACTTTTTCTCTCATTAGTATTTCCATTTTTGTGTACTGCCTTTTCATCTCATTGACCTAGTTTTATCGGGGATAAATATATCACACTTTTAACACTATTAAAAACTTTCTTTTCCAAACACCAACCATCTTTTATATAAGTTCTTAAAGGCACTTGGTAATCCTTTGCCCACTAATCTGCCCATACAATCTCCTTCAAGAATTCTGACCAAGGGTTATCTGAGATCTTGAGACTGGAGTCTGCCCTCTCAGCTCGAATTCTGAGTTCTGGAGTACTAGCCATGAGACCTCAGACAAACAGCTTTACCTATCAGAGGCTCAGCTTCCTGATAAGATTAAAACAATAATAATAGAATCTATGTCATAGAGGTGTTGAAAGGCTGAAATGAAAACACGTGTTGACTTCTCAGCATTAAACCTGCCAGTGGAACCTTGCTTGATAAATGGAAGAAACCATTGTCATCATTAACAGCAAATATTTCCACCCGGTGAGAGCAAGCCACCTGCAAAAGGTTAAGCCATCGCTCAGGGTCACACAGCTTCTGGCCAAAGCTAAGGAGGATTGTGCAGCCTCAGGAAAAGCATCCCTGGCGGACACAGGAGGGAGATCTGAGCAGGGCAGGGAGTTGGGGATCTGGGGTCATTTTCTTACACCTTTGCACCTCCGCACAGAAGCAGGCTCTTGTGCCAATGCACGCCCCTTCCCCTTGTTGTTCACCGAAGGATTAGCAACATAGCCTCATTCATGTGAAGGTTTTCCTTGGCTTTGTTACAATCTGATGACCTTCACGCTCGGTTCTAGCTTCCCTGTGGATGTTACGGTCACAGCACTTAACCCTATGCTGCCGGTTTCTTTTGAGCCACCAGTGGCTGCCCCTTCTCTGGCCCGAGGGAGAGGAACCCGACTCAGACACAGAATCCTAGGTGTTAAGATTACACCAGAGCTACCCACACCTTGGTCTATGTCAGGATTCTTTCCAGAGTCTTTTTGGACAGCCCGTGGACTCCCTTATCCCTTTCCCCACAGCACATCCCTGGAGCCTGAGACAAAACCCTAGGCAGGAGAAACGACATCACCCAAAGAGAGCCAAAGGGCCCTTTAACTGGGCACTGAGCTGGTCCTGAGTCAGCTAGCAGTGGGGAAATCTGACTAGCCATTCCTGTCCAAGATTTAATACAGGAACTCACAGAGGCCACATGTACACAATGCTACTACAGCTGGACATCTGACTTTCCTGGGGAGCCAAGAACAAACGCACATTTCACCTGATATAACCCTAATAACAGGCCAGAAACATGACTCCAACCAAGTCCAACTTGAACCAGTGAGTTTAACTGGGCTTACTTACAGAAGCAGGGATTTAGGGGTCAAATACAAGAGCATGAGCAACTTACTTCCTGCCTGGACAATCCTCCAGCTCAACCAGAGCAAACATCAGGCCTACAGAGAGCTGAGAGAGACACTGTTTTGCTTTTGTGTGGCTGGGGAAAGTCAGTTCTCTGTGGATCCATTCATTGCGGAGGCCAGAGTTAAGTAGGACAGCACCTTTCTCTGCCTGCGCTGTGCTTGCAGACTCCTCTTAGACCAACCCTGAGGTTGCCCAGTGCAGCTTCCAAAGACTCGATGCCTGTGTCCTGCAGCAGGAGACTCCAAGTGTTCCCATCAGCGCTGCACCAAGCTCTGAGGCCAGATGCTCAAACTGAACATTATCAGTAGGAGAGACTGGCCTGAAGAACAGAGCTATCCACGTCTCAGCCAGCAAACGGCCGCAGATCACAACCACCCTTTTGAAAAATCACGGAAAGGCAGGGGATGTAGCTCAGTGGTTTGTGTGCTTGCTTAGCATGCATGGGGCCCTACGTTCAA